TACAATACACCGAACATTCGATTTTTAGACTGATCATTTCTTTGTGAGTGGGCAAACATTCAAAATCAGCAGGGGAGCAAATACGCATTTCCTTCACTGTATAGGGGGAATTCTACACTGGAAAGCAAAAAAGCTGTTGGCCAGCCAAGTATAACCCTCCATGTCGAGCATGCTTCAATTTTTTTTTTCGCCTTTGTCAAGAGTCAGCTACCAATTCTTACTGGCCCTTTATCTGTAGAGCGCTTATGCTACTGTGTACAAGGATTTGTCATCATTGTGTGTCTTATTTTACAAGTCAGTCTCCTGTCAGTACAAATACAGAAAGCTCTATGGCTAAAATGTTGATCTGTGGAAAAGCAATGTAAAAGGTGCTTGTTATGCATTCCTAATGGTAAACATTTCTTTGGTGTTTCTTTTAACATACTAAAAAAGGGTGTCGCTTGGGATAAAAGCACTCACTTACCCCAGCTGGAGAAGCCTAAGCCACAAACTGGAGGACTGCTTACCACTCTGAGGCCTCTTTTGTTACTCCCAGATTTCAACCTCCAAGTCTGGATCCCAAGCCAGGAGCCAAATCACAAAACCTTGGGCCCCAAGATCTCCAAAACTCTGCAAGTGCTCTTTGGCATGTAAGGTGCATGGGCGTATGTTGGCTTTTGTGGACACTTGATGGTCATAAAACATATCAGATGCCTGGGTAAGATATGTGGATTCCAGGGGCTACAAGCTAGAGTTCTGTTCTTTGCTACCTGCCCTCTTCATGTTATTCAACCTGCCCGTGTGTCTGCACATATTAGAAGAATTTCATGCTGTTCTTGCAGGTCTTATGAGCCAAGAATTTAATGTCATTGTTCCAACTCCAACCTTTCCAATGTTTCACGGTTTGGAAAATCAGGGTCTCATCTTAGACCCAGCTGGAGTCAGAGTTTTTTTATTCACCAAGAAAAAAAAGGTTCCACTTTCAAACTCTGTCTCTATAGACCAGGAGCTGTTCAACTCTGCAATTCTGCACGATTGCTCTAGGTTTGATGGTAGTCTCCTTAAAGGCAGTGTCATTTGTTCATTTCATTCTAGACCCCTAAGAGGAGGCCTGGATTATCGCTGGTCTTTTGGCTCAGGGATCCTGCTCTGGAGTTGGGGAAATCATTCCTCCTGCTTTCTTAAAGATTCTACCAATGGATGTCAGAATGAAGGGCTAGCCAAGATTCCTAGACACCTTGTGGGTGCAGGGGACTTGGTATCCAGATGAGTCTTGTCTCCTGATTAACATTCTGGGGATCTGAGCAATTTGGATGGCTCTGCAGTATTGGGCACTCAGCACACAAACTCCTAGGGTCATCCAATTAGAATTCCGATGGACAATGCCACAGCAGTGGCATACATCAATCATCAGAAACGAACCAGAAGTCTTTCTCCAGCAAGAGAGGTAGAATGTATTCTAACCTCGGCAGAACTCCCACATTCAAGTCTTATCCGACATTCATACGCCAAGCGAGGACAATTAGCAGGCAGACTACCTCAGAAAAAGGCACCTGAACCCAGAAGAATGGTTGCTACACCATGTTTCAGAGTGATTCACTGGTGGGGAATGCTAAATGTGGACCTCCAGGCCTCTAGATTCAACAGCAAACTGATTGGGTCTGTCTTCAGATGTAGAGATGGTGGGAGCAGTAGATGTCTGGTTATTCCGTGGGAGTACAGCCTGATCTTTGTCTTTCCTTCTCTGAAACTCCTTTCTCATATGTTTGACAGGATCAAGATGGAGTGCATTCCTGTGATCCTCATAGCTCCCAACTGGCCCGGGTGGATGTGGTACTCAAATCTTTTCAAAATTCTGGCAGACACCCCATGATCTAAATCCAGATCAGGTCACCTATACCAAGGACCAGTTTATCACCCTGCTTCACGGACACTAGCTTTAAAGCATGGCTGTAGATTTGCAGGTCTTGAAATCCAGGGGTTTCTGTCAGGGCAGGAGCTGAGGAACGGACAGGCAGGCCTAATAACAATAACGCACTGGCTGGTGACAACCACCACCCACAGACCGAAGTCCCCCAGGGCACGGAGTCTAAGTCCCAGGCTGCCCTTCACCAGGGCCCCTGATGGTGGGGATGGACTTGACGCAGCCAGGAACCAGGTCGCGGCCCCCGAGACACCTCAGTTGCGTTAATGGCCACCGCCAATGGCGTGAGTTGGTGGAAAAGACAATAGAGTAGTTGGGCAGGCCGGGTCGACAACAACGGGACAAAACGGTACAGGACAGCAGACGAGAATCACGGGTCACGGGCTGAGTGCAGCAACGGAGGGTCAGATCAAAGGAGAACACAAAGAATGGTCAGGTCACAAGCCGAGTCAGATTCCAGGAGAGTCACGAGAGTCAGAACAGAGTTATAGCAACACCAAGACACAAGTGCAAAGGGCATGTGCGGATCACAGCTTATATGTAATCAGCCACACCCCTCTGGGGGATGGACCTCAGAGACCAGAAGGCATAGAAGATTCCCATCATGCTCTGCAGAAATCCAACATGGATGCCAGCACATGGAGAAACATAACCTCTGGGAAAAGGTAGGACCTTGACGGTTTCTCTGATATCAGTATTATTACCCGCATTGTTGGAAGATTAAAACTTGCCGCAAGATCTACCATCACACATGGAAGGCTTACTTTGCCTGGTGCAAGTAGAGAAGATTTCATCCCACAAAATATTTCAAAAAAGGATCCCTAACATTTCTGTAATCGGGTCTGGAGTACCATCACGGGGCAGATCTCGGTCCTTGTGATTTTATTATAAAAGACAGCTAGGCTCCTATTCTTCGGTCAAGACTTTTACACAGGGTGTCTCTCCTCCTGTTCAGCCATCTGCAACTCCATGGGGCTTGAATTTGGTTCTCTCTGCTCTTCAAAGACTGCCTTTCAAACCCATCAGGGATATTCCCCCTACTCTTACCCACAAGGTTACTTTCCTTATTCCAATCATCTGTCATAACTGGCAGGGTAACATGGTGTTGAGGCCTACAATCTCCTTTATTTTTAAGGTGGCCTTTTACCCCAATGAGGACATTGTTCTCCTATCTCTCTCTCCAGCTCTAGTACATCAAAAGGACATTTTGCTACATTGTCTGAATGTGTAGGTTTACCTTCTAGCCACTCCTTCTATTAGAAAGACTGGCTCTCTTTTTGTCATACCTGGTGGTCTCCATGAAAGGGAACCAGCTTTTTGCTCCACAATTTCACAGTGGCTCAGACAAATATTCTTCACATATATTTCACAATATTCTCATTTTCTGAGATTGTGGATTTGGGGTTTTCATGAGCTGTAAGCCATAATCATCACAATTATGACAAATCGCAGCTTGAACTATCTTGCTTTGCATGTAATGAGTCTATCTCATATATTAGTTTCACCTTTTAAGTTGCATTACTGAAATAAATGAACTTTTGCACGATATTCTAATTTTTCGAGTTTCACCTGTACACACAGCCAGAGACGCAGTGGTTTTGTGCTTTGCGATTGCTGAGAACCAATCACAGTGTCGCTTCTGCCTCAGATCACCATTCCTATGCAACACTGCTCTCACAGACCACCAAGGAAAGGGGGGCATAGTGACCGCAAAGGGGGCACACTGACCACCAATGAACAGCAAGGGGGTACACATTGGGCATATACTGACTATAAAGAATACACACAGGCAGGGGCGGACTGACCATTTGGAAACTCGGGCACTGTCCAAGGGCCCGGGGTCAGTAGGGGGCCCCATGAGATGCCCCTGATACCTTTTTCATAGGCTTTTTTGAGTTTGGGCAAGGACACAGGGGCCCCATGATCCCCTATTGCCCGGGGGCCCCATGAGTTGTCAGTCCGCCCCTGCACACAGGCCACCATACTATAACATATTATGAAGGAAAAAACTCTACCGACCAAGTTATGGAGCACTCACCACAGACCACCACCATAAGGGGGCAATAAAATCCGACCTCTAAAATCTGGTAGCTGTGCTGTTTATTACACAGTCCTTGCCCGTGTACTCTGACTGCTGCACTGTATACAGTATGTCCTAAATGAAAATAAAGAATTTTTGGGGTGTTTATACTGTCCTGGCATTTTAGGGTTTCAAGAAATAGGCAGTCAGAAAATCATTTTTATTTTCAAAATTTTTGGTCCCTTTCATATGTGGTTATATATATAGTTCCTTTGTATAGTAAAAACAGTCTGTGGTTATTAAAAAAAAACTCAAAACAGAACTCTATCTGCCTCAAAAATTTATATCCAGTGTACAGTGTTGAATGATAGTTTGTCAGTCAAACTATCACAGCACTAAAAACTTAAATATGTCCTGGTAATAGATATATACAGGCTGGTACTCAAGTGGTTAATGGTCAGCAGCAAAATGTTAAGACTTTTTTACTGTGGTAATACTTCAAGGAACCATTAGGATTCTGGAACATTGACTCTGTGTGTTTGTAGTTATTATTAAACACATAGATCAGACACTAAACTGTAAGTAGCAGTCACAAGCTCCATAACACATTATAGAAGGAAAAGATGGATGGCGGAGGGATGCCCACTCTCACTAACATGTTTTTTCATTACTTTAAATCTTATCGGCTGGCAATAAATACTCAGCTAAAAGGATCCTGCATTTTTAGCACAAGTAGAAAACCCAAGCCTTTTTATGGGAATGCATTTTATATATATGTGTAAATATATATATATATATATATATATATATATATATATAGTGAGCTGGGGATAGGTAACAGGTACAACTCTCCCTGGGGTACCAGTACAGCGGTGTGTTTATATGTGGTATTTACAAGTCTCCTTGCAAGTGCTGTTCAGTGATAGAAGCAGGGAAAAAAACTTGCAAAAACTAAATCCTAGCCATGCCCAGGCACTAATTACACCATTATAAATGCTGATTTACAGGCCGTCCAAGCCTATTGCTTGCCAGCCTCCACAGTTTGGCAACTTTCCATCAACACTAACAGACATAACCAGGGGTGGACTGACCATTTGGAAACTCGGGCACTGCCCGAGGGCCCGGGGTCAGTAGGGGGCCCCATGAGATGCCCCTGGTACCTTTTTCATAGGCTTTTTTGAGTTTGGGCAAGGACACAGGGTCCCCATGATCCCCTATTGCCTGGGGCCCCATGAGTTGTCAGTCCGCCCCTGGACATAACTTGTCTGTTCCCCAGGCTCCAGAGCACCGACTCTGAGTTCCAGATGAGCTTAAATTGCCAAAACAGAGAGATGCAAAACCTGAACCAGATAGAACTCTAAAAATGTTCCAGAGGAGCACGGGGAAGATGTGTAATCAAAAAAATTAAAGGCACACTTTAATCAGAGTATAGCATCAAGTCAATGAAACTTCTGGGATATTGATCTGGTCAGGTAAGTAGCAGAGGGGGTTGTTTATCAGTTTCAGCTGCTTTGGTGATAATCAAATTAACAACAGGTGCACTGGATGGGCAACAATGAGACGACCCCCAAAACAGGAATGGTTTTACAGGTAAAGGCCACTGACATTTTTTCCCTACTCCTCTTTTCTGACTGTTTTTCACTAGTTTTGCATTTTTCTAGGGTCCGTGTCACTAATGGTAGCATGAGGCGATACCTGGACCCTACAGAGGTTGCACAGGCAGTCCAACTCCTCCAGGATGGCGCATCAATACGTTCCATTGCCAGAAGGTTATATTGTACATTCACATCAGTCCCTAATCCTCAACGGGCGTACAATCTAAGGTCCCTAACTCACATTCATACATGCACATACTAGGGCCAATTTAGACAGGAGCCAATTAACCTACCAGCATGTCTTTGGAGTGTGGGAGGAAACCCACGCAGGCACAGGGAGAACATGCAAACTCCAGGCAGGTGGTTGGGATTCGAACCAACGACCAGGGGTGGACTGACCATTTGGAAACTCGGGCACTGCCCGAGGGCCCGGGTCAGTAGGGGTCCCCATGAGATGCCCCTGGTACCTTTTTCATAGGCTTTTTTGAGTTTGGGCAAGGACACAGGGGCCCCATGATCCCCTATTGCCCGGGGGCCCCATGAGTTGTCAGTCAGCCCCTGCCAACAACCCTAGTGCTGCCAGGTGGGAGTGCTAACCATTTAGCCATTGTAACATGTAAGCGCTTAGCAAATTGAGAACTAAATCACTGCTCCCAATCGGCATGCTTGTTGCAGGTCAATGACTAAGTAAATACTGAATCTAAACACATCCAGGAAACTAGCATTTTCAAAAGGAGATCAACACTAGCAGCCTCATTTCTCGTAGGAATAGGTTTTCTTTTTTTTTTTTTCAATTTGCACCGTGTGAATCCACTTTCTACGTTTGGGATGCTCTCTACATGCACTAGATCAATACATTCCATGACATTAAATTACAAACCAGTGGCCCATAAAATCCTATAAACAGACCTGGCTGCCTGTCACTTTTTATTGTAACTTTGCTTGATTTTACATCTCTGTGTCCACTGAAACGTTTACAATGACCTTTACCATTAATAGGGTCCTTTATTAAGGTTCCCAACATTGCTACTTGAAAATTAGGGAGAAGGTTGGGGGATCATACCTCATTGGCTGGTAGCTTAAGGACAAAAAAGCAACTCACTTTGGGATCAGACAGTCTGTACAGGATTCCTGGCCAGACTGCAGAGATATGAATCCTTTTTACATGGGGCGGACCTGTTTAGCGGATCCGCTTGCACAGCGGAGAGATCCCCCGCTGAGCATGCAGATGACAGCTCTGTGTCCCCTCCGCTGCTGCAGAGCAGACACAACGGGTCCTGCCTGCCCGTTTTTCAGGTGGACCCAATCAGAACCTCCATTTATACCCGCCGCTCCATAAAGGAGAATGGAGGTTCTGATCGGGTCCGCCTGAAAAAATGGGCAGGCGGACCCGATCGGAACCTCCATTCTCCTGTATGGAGTAGAAGGTATAAATGGACATGTGTCCATTTAGACCCGCCAACATCCAATCCGATCCGATCGGAACGTCCGTGTGAAAGAGCCCAGAGGCAGCATGATTTTAAAGCTGAACTCCAGATATATAAAAAGGTGAAATAATTATACTGTATAGGAGCTGTTTTACTTCATTCCTGTACATCCAGTACTGTGAATTGCACAGCTCTGCTACTTAGCATAACCTTGTCTGACAGATAAGACCTGATTTTCCTGTGCTGTGGTTAGGGGGTTAGTTCACCTTTACAGAAAACATGTAAAAGTAAACTAACACTGGACACCCTCCCCACCCACCCCGTCCCCACTGTACTTACCTCCGGGATTGCTGAGTTGTCAGTACCCCCTGCAGATGCTTCAGTAGTCCTGGAGTTTGAAATCCCCACTCTTCTTCCTCTTCTCTGTCAAAGCTACTGTGATTATTTACAGTGCAGGTTTAATGTCACCTTATAGGTGAGATTTACTAAAACTGGTGTACCCAGAATCTGGCGCAGCTGTACATAGTAAGCAATCAGCTTCTCCCTTCTCATTTAGGCCCCTTTAACATGGACATTCTGATCGGGTCCACCTGTCCGTTTTTCAGGCGGACCCAATCGGAACCTCCATTCTCCTCTATGGAACGGTGGGTATAAACGGACATGTGTCTGTTTACACAAGCCAACATCCAATCCGATCTGCCGAAAAAGGAACGGATGGGGATCCAATTGCCCTTCCTTCTGTTGGATCGGGTCGGTTGAAAGGTGGTCCGTTTCCATCCGACCGCCCATTGAGTAGAGCAAGCTGCTCTGTGACACAGACCTGTCATCCGCTTGCTCAGCGGGGATCGGCAGAGAGATCCCTCCACTGAGCAAGCAGATCCGTTAACCGGGTCCCATGTGAAAGGACCCTTAAGCTTTGATAATAAGACCCCTTTCACACAGGCGTTCCATATGTCTGTTTACGGATGAAAAACGGACACCCATGTATTTCTATGGACTATCGGATGTAAACGGATGATCATCTGTTTGCATGTTAATGTCCGCATCTGCTAACATCTGTTTTTTTTTGAACGGAAGAAAACCCTATTTTTCTTCCGTTAAAAAAAAAAACGGATAAAAAATGGATGGAAATGGATGGAAGACAGATGTAAACTGATGAAAAACTGATGTGAACTGTTTTTTTCTTGGACTGAACTGATGAAAAAAAGGAACGCCTGTGTGAAAGGAGCCTAAAACCTAGCAGTTGATTGGTTACCATGCACGGCTCACCAGATTCCGTGTGCACCAGCTTTTAGTAAATCTTCCCCTCTCTGTGTCACCGTGCAGGTTAAATATATCATTAGTTAAAGAGAAGCTCCAGTCTCCTCTCTTCAATCGGCTTCGGGTGCAGGCGCCAGAATCTTAGGTATGGGAAACTGGAGGTGAAGCCTTGCAGCTGCACAGCCAGTTTCATACTGCGCATGCGCGAGCTGTACTGAGCTTTGTAAAATGAGTCCCAGAATGCTACAGGGCTAAGGAGAATGGGAGCCGAACTTTTCTGTGGTGATCTGACCCAGAAGTGGGAGCGGGTACCTGTCAAAACCAGGTACCCACTCCCCCCTCTGCCCCAAAAAGTGCCAGATGTGGCAGTGGAGGGGGGAGACTGCAAACAAGCGGAACTTCCCATTTTGGGTGAAGCTCTGCTTGTGCTGATTGTGTGTAAAAACAGTTTCAGAACCATGGAGAGCTCCATTCATCACATCTGCCAGTCACTTGAAAGGGGAAGTTCCCCTTTAACCACTTGCCCTCCTGAGGATTTACCCCCCTTAATGACCAGGACTCTTTTTGCTACTCGGTGCTGCACTAACTCAACTGATAATTGCGCGGTCATGCAATGCTGCACCCAAACGAAATTTACGTCCTTTTTTCACACAAATAGAGCTTTCTTTCAGTGGTATTTGATCACCTGTGCGCTTTTTATTTTTCACGCTATAAACAAAAAAATACCAAAAATGTTGAAGAAAAATTATATTTTTTACTTTCAGCTATAAAAAAATATATAGCAAACTCAAAGTTAGTTATAAATTTAGGCCAAAATGTATTCTGCTCCATGTTTTTGGTAAAAAAAAATCCCAATAAGTGTATATTGATTGCTTTGTGTGAAAGTTATAGCGTCTACAAACTATGGTATAGATACTGCAATTTACGCCATTTTTTTTGCTATACAGCGCTGCGCTAGTTTAACAGACAATTGTGCAGTCATGCAAAATGGTACATAAATTAAATTTATGTCCTTTTTTTCACACAAATAGAGCTTTCTTTCAGTGGTATTTGATCCCCTGTGCGTTTTTTATTTTTTTTGCGCTATAAAAAAAAAAGTCTGACAATTTTGATAAAAAAAAAAATATTTTGGACTTTTTGCAATAAAACATGTACAGTAAAAAAAATTTAAAAATCAACTTTCGTCATAAATGTTGGCCAAAATGCATTCTGCGACATGTCTTTGCTACAAAAAACCCCAATACGTGTAAATTAATTAGTTTACGTGAAAGTTATAGCATTTACAAATCGCGGTAAAGATGCTGGGATTTTTAATTTTTTTTTATACTAATAATAATGCAGCGATCAGCGACTTATGGCGGCGATGAACGACTTTATGGCGGGACTGCGGCGGACATTCTGACACTGGGGGGGAACTGACTTGGGGTCACTGACATCCCCAGTGACACCAATAAAGTGATCAGTGCAAAAAGAAAACACTGACACTCTACTAATGGCACTGGGGAGGAAGGGGTTAACTTTTTTTATTTACTGAAAGGGTTAACTGTGTGAGGGAGTGTTTTACTAGGGGGCGGGGTGTGTACTGCATGGGGGACTTGCTGATCGGGAGAGATAAACTCTTCTCTCCGGCTCAGCATGTCAGGAGCTGTCAGGGAACTGACAGAGAGCAGAGCTACTTCAGCCCTGCTCTCTGTCAGTGATTGCCGCTAATCGGTGGACACAGCCGGTAACGACCTGCTGTGACCCGGCGACTGACATCCGAGGCCGTGATCGGCAGGACAGGTAGGGCGGGGGCGCACCTCGCGCGCGCTCCCTACCTGTTTTGCAAACACACGTTTTAAAACGTGATTTTGCCCAGCCGTGCCGCCCTGCCAACGTATTTCTACAGTGGCTGGGCGGCATGTGGTTAAGTCCTCATGCCCACCGGACATTTTTACAGCAGCTGTTTTTGGCTTTTGACTTTTTTTTCTACAGCTAGTTATCATACTCATACTCAGTTATACCCCCCAGCATGTTATCCTATGTGTCCATGCACACATAGACTGTAATCAACATTTTTTGGCTGGGCCATTTTTTGGCTGGAAAAAACCCCCAGAACTAGTGGGATTCCAAAGGAGTTTTTTAGCTGTAAAAACGCTCTAACACTAAAAAACACAACAAAACACAGTAAAACGTGGTAAAATGCATTTTTGGACTTTTTTTTACCAAAAAACCTTTTTTTGTGGAAAAGAAACACTAAAAAGCCCAAGTGCGGAAAAACTCGGGAAATTGCAGCTAAACGCGGCAAAACGCCGCTAAATGCTAATGCAAAAACACTAAAAAAAGCTGGAAAACTCATGTTTTTAACTTGACTTTACACAGGTAATGTTACCAGCGTTATCAAAACGTCCCATGTGCATGAGGGCTTAGGCTTTGTCCCCCGCTTCCCGTTAAATATCGGCACCTTTGGGGAGCGGGGGGTGGGCGGCTACCCAATTTTGAAAGGTACCTGCTCCCACTAGGTAGAAGTGCTAACCACAGTGCTACCCTTTCACTGCCATTGATGTAAGAAATACGATAGAACAGAGCCGCCTCCAGCTATGCCTTACATTGGCTGCATTCACCCACTGGTGTAAGTTCATGGTCACCTCAGTACACATGAGCAGTGAACATTCACTTGGTAAAGAAGAAGTCTCACTTTCATTTTTAATAATGTGTTCTGTTCCCCGGGAAGGGGGGGGGGGGGATTTTCCTATGTGATGTCTAAGACTAGCTGTGAGGTTGGACAGGGCACCCCCCATCCCTGCATGGCTGTCCGACAACACAGCTAGCAAGGAGACATCAGCTTTGAGAGACGATACTTTGCTCCTTCTCC